AGTAGTCTACACAGGTGTGGTGCACGCCACATCATAGATGTACTTGGGTTTTCCAAAGCTATCGGTGTATTATGACGATTTGCAAGGCGTATGATCTGGGTAGAGAATAGGAAGGTGTCGTTACCAATATTTAGCTTAGCCTGATTAGCAGCACTGAGCCCAGGAAGTCCGAGAATGTGTTCCGAGTCCCGAATAGCAGGCCGTCTAGCAATAGACCAGGTAGTACACGGGGTCCCTAACCAGATGCCGACGATGACGTTCCCGCGGATCCAACCTTTGATAACGGCCTGGAAGGCCGGGCACAGATGGTCCTGGAAAGCGTGGTTTTTGACATCCAGGCTGAGAACGGCGAACCCCTGGGACTTCAAAAACTTGCCGATACCCCCGTTGCCTGCGAAAAGCTCCAAGAAGATAACCCTCCTGTTGGTGGTGGCCTTCCTCAGCGCCCGAGTCAGGAGGTGCTGAAGGTACCGCTTCACCCGTTGGGAATGGCTCATCTTGGGGCCACTGCAGGAATCTGAGATACTAGCCGTGCTGGAAGTCTGCTCACTGCTTGTTTGACACTGGATTCGAGGGCTGCAGGCACTCGCAGCTGGGAGGGCCGATTGCCGACCCCGAACTTGATGGCCTCGGCGAAGCTCTGGTGCACCGCGCTGCCGAAGTTGAAGACGGACGGACAGATTTGGTTGATCACGCGCAACAGCTTGGTCTCCTTCCCGTACCTCTTCAAAGAGGCCACTGTCGTCCAGCGACCCCGGCGCATGACTTGTTCTGGCGTTCGCTTTCTGGCCGCCAGGTCCTCCGACGCCCCTCCGTGTCGTAGCTGATACGGATGTGGGTCGAAGGGTCCTAGCCCCAGACCCTCGGCCACTGCGATGAACACGTCCTTGTAGAGCTCGCTGCTGAATCCCCACAGGCTCCCGTCTGGTAGGCTGGCCTGCTTCAGGCCGAGAAGGGGCTCCCACAACCACTGCTCGTCGATCGTCACAGCGTCGTCGAAGGCCCCCGTCTTGCCGGGGAAGCCGAGGGGGGTCTCGTGCAGCACTAAGCCCATCATGGTGTAGCCAGCACCTGCCACTGATGCTCTTGCCGAGGAGCGCCATCGCCTCGATAGGCCGCAGGTAGCAGACGTGCGATACCGCAACCATGATCGCCATCCGCGGGAGCCCGAGCATGATCATGCCTCCCGCGATCGCCAACGCCGCCAGGCATGGCAGGGGGAGCCGGGACTGCGCTGGCGTCCGCCGACACCAGCTGACTGCGCACCGGGTCGCCCTCGGCAGCAGGGCCCGCGTCTTCTTGTGCAACTCGGGGAAGACATAGCCCAGCGCTGCCAAGAGCCGGCTCGCCTCGTCGGCCCCGTGGCCCTCCATGCACATGGAGTTCAGATACTCCACCGCCACGTCGTCCAGCCCGGGCGCGTCCACCCAGCTCACCTTCGCCACGCGACAGAAGTCGAGGAAGAGGCGGAGGGTCCGCTGGTACAACAGCACGGTCCCCGGCTTCACGGCAATCTTCTCCAGCACGCTCATCCAAGGGAAGCGGTCGCAGGCGTCCACCTTCGAGGCCGCCCCCCGAGCCCGGGACGCTCGTTCCTTCTTGAGCTTCCCGGCCTTCTTGCTGAGCTGCTGCTGGCGCGTGCCGCGGGCCACGGACTTGCCCATCACCGGGCCCCCGCCCTGCAGGCACGGTCCCGCCACCTATGTCGGTGTGGCAGGGGTGCGCCTGTGGGGAGCCCTCGCGGTATCTGGCTTCGGCAGGTGCACGCGGAGGCTGGTGTGGAGGCGGTGGTGCAGGGGTCGGAGCCTGTTGTTGGACCTCGAGCCAGGAGGGACCTGCGAAGAAGCCACACTGCCCGCGGGACCCCTTGTCAGCCGGATTCCTCTCGGACGGGACCCACCGAACGTAGAAGCGACTCCCCGTTGCGAGCGAAAGGGCCGCGACACGTCGGAGAGGTCGGAGGAGATAGGAGGACCGAGCGCGGCCTTTGACCGCCCCAAGACAGAGCGGTAGGTTGTCGACCAACGCCAGAACCCGTGAACCTCGGGCAACCCCAGATCGGAGGATATGTCGGTATCCCAGGACCAAGGCGTCGCCCTCGAGCTCGAGAATGTTCGACCTATGCCTTACTCTGGTAGCTATAACAGTATTCCAATGTTTGTCATCCATAAAATCTTTGCTAATCTCGTCGAAACTTACGGCTAGGTCCTCAATGTTAGTCACCCTTGTTGTATCGGCCCGGCTAGAACTGAAACCGCTCCCAGAACCAGCCTCCAGAGGTGTCGTGGATCCCATCCCAGAAGAACTGAACACAGGCCCACCAACCACGTCCCAAGCCACAGCCCCAGTCCCATTCCCAGAAGAACTGAGCGTAGACCCAACCTCCCTGTCACACTTCATACCTTCCCCTTCGGGTCCCAGTACAGTAGGAGCAGGGTGTCGGTCAGGGGCGAAGCTGGAGTCGGAGAGGGCGTGATTCCTAGCGTCGATGCACTGCTCAACCTTGAAGCGCCATTTTTCGGATACTCGGCCAATGGCACCGATCTCGGCTGGGTCAGCCCGCCGTGTACACACGCCCAGCCCGAACGGCGAGGCGTCCGTGGCGAGCACAGTGGGATGCCAGGGCGCCGTCCAGCGCACACACAGGAGTGGCAGAAGACACCTGATGGTCTAAAGTTCCCGGCGTACAGCAGGCCAGAGCTCCGCGACCCCAGGGCCGTTTTTGGTGACATATGCATAGCTACACTGTAAAATACTGTAAACTTCACGTCTGATCAGGCCCGCCCAGGTGATGTGTCCCAAGAGAGCCCTGAGTAGGTGCCCGCTGCAACGCCTCCGTCGCAGTAGCGCCTCGATTGCAAACCTCAGACGCCACAGATTACGATGCTTTATTGAAAGTCGGTCCCCACCTGATAGTTGGAGACCAAGAAAAACAGCATCCTGGGCCCCGGACTCCACCTCATGCAAAATAAGCCCCTTCTCCTCCAGAGACCTCCTGATGTCTCCCAAAACCACCTCGGTAGTCGATTTGTCCCTCCCCACCGTCAGCACATTGTCTACATACCCCGCAACGGCAACGTCCCCCCCTTTCACTTCCACAGCCGGTAAACCGTCCAGGATGACCAGGGAAGTAGGAACCTTAGACGACGAAATAGTATGACGAACGACGCTTTGACATAATAAGAGTGACCAAGACCAGCCCATGGGGAGAACACAGAGCCTGGGGGCGATGACTGTATCTGGGTGGAGTCGTTGCCCGTTCAAAAACTTCAATCCCAGGTGTCGGGCGGCCGTGTGTGGCAGCCGAAAGTAGCGCCTGAGAAACGGTGGCAAGCCCATCCTGTAAAAAGCTGCGTTGATATCGCCCGCTGCCACGAAGACCGGACCGTCGGTCTCGACCTGGCTGAGAGAAGATGCAGTAGGTAGTCGAGTGGAGAGTGGATCCTTGAACGAGTAGTTACACACCCTGGTATCGAATATAACCCGAATTTTACCGTCTTTTTTGGCCACGAAAAACACGCCGATAGTGTGGGTATCCTTTGGGGCCAGGGTCCAATCGAGCATCCCGCGGTCGCACAAGAGGTGGAGGAAGTCGGAGTAGGCGGTGGGGTTGTTCCTCAAGAAGGGGTCCACGTAGGGTTCCGCGGGACCCAGTTCCTGATGAAGGGAGGTGGCCTCATTAGCGTCCCTGAGCAAATTCACCTGATAGTTGCACAACCAGTCCGAGTCCCTGGCCGACAGCATATTTGTCACACATGTGGCATCTATCTGGTCGGGAAGAGCAAGTAAGCTCCGATTGTACGGCCTCCTGGTGGACCCTACCCCGTCGTCGTAGAGTCCAGAGGCTGTGCAGATCTCACGTAAAGATCCCGCACCTGGAGCCAGATCTGGTGGAGGCGCAGAGATGGCAGCGTAGCATTCGCGAATGTGTCGGAGGGCGTCGTTCTGACCAGCATTAGTAGCGGTGACCTGGCCCTCCGTAGGGGCCTCCCCAGACATCTGATTCAGACAAGCAACCCCGTCGTTGGCCCAATCACTGTAGTACTGAACCCGACGCCTCCGACGCTCCGCATTCCGACAAGGCTGCGCTGCCCCCTGGCACTGCCTCACCTCCCGTGGCAAAAAAGGCAAAGGGAAAATGTCACGCTCGCGAGCGCCCCTGGTCGCTGGACCGGGCTCGTGCTTAGGGCCAGGCGTCGAGGGGGCAAGAGAGCTCTGGCAAGCGGCGGCGCCACGGTCCAGGACCGAGGGTGGCGCCAGCCCAGGGGGGGAGAGATATGTACACGAGTGAGGCCGGGCGGCACAGAGCGTGGCCCGACTTCGAAGGCCTCCGAAAGATGGGCGAGCGGGCGGCCTGGTCCCGCCGCCCGTGGATGATCAGCCATCATCCTTGCTGTCCTTCTTGGGGTTCTTCTTGTTCTGCTTCGCGCTCTGTCTCTCCTCCCGAGCCTTGCGCCTCTCCTTCATGACCGAGACCTCCTTCTGCAGCTCGCTCGACACCCAGCTCTGGAGGGATGGGCAGACCGCGACGTTGCCGTGGAGGTGGTCGAGGCCCATGTACAAGAAGGCGTCCTGCACGCCATCCGAGCCTCCTCCAGCTATGCTAGGCATCCTGTCACGATGCCTCTCTTCGGACAACTGGATCGTTCGAGACATGATCTCGGCCGCCGCGATGTCGGGGAGGTTTAGCTGGTCGTACGTGGCCATACTCTCCAACATCTGGCAGCACATGAGGTGCTGCTCGACTCCGCCGTCGTTCACCTGCAGCTTGGCGTCGGCCTTCCATCGAGCATGGCGCCCGAGAGGCGTCTGGCCGTTGGCCACCATGAACCGACAGAGCCATAGCGTAGCGCGGGGCCCCCGCACTGGGAAATCATTCAAGGGCGTCTCGACCATGCCCTCCACGGCGAACCTGAACTCCCTGAAGCGGGCCCCGCTCACGTCCTGCTGGATCGGCTGCGCGCGGATGTCCACCGTCGGGAATGCGGCGACCGTGGGGGCGGCGGCGCCTGGGGCCATGGCGGCGGGTACCAGCACACCGCCTGCGCCGATGGCGGGGGGCGGTGCGACGGCCGCTGCGGCGGCACCCGGCGCGGCCGCACCCGGCGCTGCGCCCGCGGCGGCGCCAAGGGCCACGCCTGCGCCGGCCACGGCGCCGCCAGGGCCGCCGCCAGGAGCGGGACCAAGCGCAGCCGCCAAGGCGCCAGCGCCTCCGCCCAAGGCCGGCACGACGGCCTCCGCGGCGGCGGCGGCCCCGGCTGGGGCGGCTCCGACCGCGCGCCCGATCAGGTTGGGCTGCTTGCCGTCGATCGGCACCGCCACTCCCCGCCGGGCAGCCGCTCGGGCGCGGGCGGCATTGAACACCGCGGGCGTGGGTACATTCTGAAACCGATAGACAGGTAGTACAGCTCCACCAGGTCCAGCAGGAGGATCACCTCCACAGGCCCCTAAGGCCATCAATCCGAATGACACTACATCTGCACCATGAAGCCAATCCTCGTCGTACTCATCTCCATCTGGGGTGAGCACGCTCACGGTCGAACCAGCACCGGGCTCGATGAGCACGAGCCGCTCGTGAAAGATGGGCGGACCTGGCACGTTATACTGGATAGCACCAAAATCACCAGCCTCGATGCCGAGGCTTTGCACTGGAATAGGGGCAGCCATCACGCCGAATTCTTGCGCCGCTGCCTAAGAAGATTCAGCTGCTGGAGCGCAACCTTCTCTACGTCGTCGGTGACCGGAGCAAACCCAGCAGCGGCGGCGGTCGATACGGTCGGCGTGGCCCGAGCCCCGATCACGCAGTATTGCACCACCAGCACTCCGAGCGCTCCGACGATCGTGCCAACGAAGAAGAATGTCGGCCCGCTCGGGCCCGTCGGGGTCGTGTACTCCTGAGGCAGAGAACCTTCCGCACAGGCCAGCGTCGGTGAGCACTGGCACACGCAATCAGGGCAGCCGACTGTGGATGCGCGGACTGCGAGGGAGGTAGAGAGTCCCCGAGCAATCTCAAGGACCAGCTCGTTCATGGGAGCCTGGGCCCCCAAAAAGCTTGAGCCGCAATGTCATGCGGCCCCGCTCACCCCTCCCCCACTTACTGTATTTAATTCAGACATTCTTCAGAAATGAGAACTCAACAGCAGCAGCAACAACACCACCACCACCAACAACAACAACAACAACAACCACAACCACAACCACAACAGCAACAACAACAACAACAACAACAACACTAACACTAACACTAACACTGAAACCAACACTAACACTAACACTAACACTAACACTAACACTAACACTAACAACAACAACAGCAACAGCAACAACAACCACAACCACAACCACAACCACAACAACAATAACCAATCACCAACACACAACACCAAACAACAAACAACAAACAACACCAAACAACAAACAACAACAACAACAACAACAACCGCACAGCACACGGCAAACACAACAACAACACCAACACCAACACCACCACCACCAACAACAACAATCATTTAAGACGGTTCGCTCTTATTGGCACGCGTGTCTTGCATCCCGTATACCCCAACCCTCGATACCCGCCCACTTCGTCTTTGATTGCACCCCCTTTCGGGGGGAATCTCTCCCGTGTCGGCCACTGAATGAAGTGCGAAGAAGTCTCGAGCGAGAACGCCGTTCCTGAGTTCGGGGGCCTCTCTGGCCAAAGGCTCTCGGAATACCTATGGAGAAATATTGAACGGGAGCCCTTGTCGCCGTGTCCGGGCCTCCACCAACTTGCCTGAATTACGGGAAAGTCTCGAGCGAGAGCGCAAGCCCTGAGTTCGGGGGCCTTCTTGGCCAGGGGGTCTCGGAGAACACCGTGAGGAAGTATTGAGCAGGAGCCTTTGTCGTCGTGGGTGGGCCTCCGCCATCTTAATTGAATTGCGAAGAGGTCTCGAGCGAGAGCGCCAATCCTGAGTTCGCGGGCCTCTCTGGCCCGGGTGTCTCGGGGTAAATTGCAAGGAAGTGCCGAGCGGGAGCCGTTGTTGTCGCAGCTGGGCCTCCAAAGGCCCGCATTGAGGGTCAAGCCAACGCTCGAGCGGAAGCCTCGTTTTCAGCGAAAATGTAGGCGGCGTCCAGGCGAGAGCGCGCGGGACCGCTTCCGGAGATCAGCAATAACTAGTTTTAGAAATGGGTATTCAACAACAACACCAACACCAACACCAACACCAACACCAACACCAACACCAACACCAACACCACCAACACCACCAACACCACCAACACCACCAACAACACCAACAACATCAACAACAGCAGCAGCAACAACAACAACAACACCAACACCAACACCAACACCAACACCACCAACACCACCACCACCAACAACAACAACAACACCAACAATAACACAACCTGTGGGAGCATGTGGGAGGAGAAAGGGAACCCTGTCTAGCTCCCCTCTCGATATGGCTTGATCCTGGCAGCTCAGGCTGATCAAAACATCGTTGTGTGAGTTGTTTGTTGCTTGGGGCAAGTGGCACCGACACCTGTTTCCGTAGTGAACTGAACTGAACTAAGGAGGAGGAGGAGCAGGGAGGAGGAGGAGGAGAAGAAGGAGGAAGGAGGAGGAGAAGGGAGGAAGATGAGGAGGCGGAGGAGGGAGGAGAAGGGAGAGGAGAGGAGGGAAGCTAGGGGGGGAGAGGGATGAATAAGAAAGTGAGAGGGGACCTCGGCGCAGAGAGGTCTCCCTCTCCCAGGAGAGAAGGACCGAGGAAGCGAATGGGGGGGCGGGCTGGAGTGGAGAGGACGTGTCAAGTGTAGCGCCCGGGTGAAGATCGACGCGAACAACCTCCTCTTCCTCCTCCTCTTCCTCCTCCTCCTCCTCCTCCTCCCGCTGCATCCTCTCTCCTCCTCCCGCTCCATCCTCTCTTCTCGCGGTGGAGCGGGGGGGGGGGCTGCAAGTTTATGTGGCGCTCCCGCCCCTGAGATCACGACTCGTCCTCGTCTTCGTCCTCGTCATCCTCGTCCCTGGACCCTCGAAATCCTCTCCCCTGTTGCCTCTTCATCCTCTTCCTCCTGCCTTCTGTCCCCTCCCTTCTCCCCATCCTCTCCTCCGCCGTCGCTGTAGCCGTCGCCGTCGCCGTCGCCGCCGCCGCTGTAGTCGTAGTCGTAGTCGTAGTCGTCGACGTCGTCGTCCTCGGGTTATGGGGGTCGGTCGGAGCGCGCGGCGGTCCTTGGTAGGCGAGCGGCTGGCCACCGCGTTCTCGTGCCCGCGCTGGCGGGGCGGGAGGGGCGGATGACGAAGGGGGAGAAGGATATGGAAGGATCGTAGGCAGGAGGATGCCATCACGTGATGCGACGTTCCCTCTTTCTCCTCCTCCTCCTCCTTCTCCTCTTCCTCTTCCTCCTCCTCTTCCTCCTACTCCTCGTAATCGCGATCGCAACAGAAGTCCAGAGGCGAGTAGCAGCAGCAGCAGCAGCCGAAACTACCTTGCTCAAACCAGGACTGACCTCCTCCTCCTCCTCTTCCTCCTCGTCCTCTTCCTCTTCCTCTTCCTCTTCATTTTCCTCTCCCTCCTCCTCCTCCTCCTCCTCCTCCTCCACCTCCAAATTCACATCGCGTGACGAATCCAAATTGCCGAGATCGAGGACCCAGACCCTCTCGCGTCGTGAACAAAACAGCAAAGACATTGTTTTGTTACGTTCGGCCTCCTGGGGTCCTCGCCGGGCCCTGGGACCATCACGAGAATACTCGGGACGAAAAGCCGGTCCCGGGGAAAGGGTCGAAACCTCTGGTGGTCAACGTTGTGACAAAGTGATGACGTCTGGGGTCCGGGGGGATGAGCGAGGATCGAGGATTAAGTTTGTTTTTTTCAGCGAGGATTTCGGGTGGTCTCCAGGGGGCTCCCCATCGCCGCAGATGTCCCCGCCTCGAAGTTCAAATCAGAGCGCACCCCGTGGGAGGTCCAGGAGGCGATTGTGGGAGGAGGAGGAGGACGAGGAGGACGAGGAAAACGAGTGGGTGGGAGGTGGGAGGTGGGAGGTGGGATGTAGGAGGAGGAGGAGGGGTAGGAGGAGGAGAAGGAGGAGGAAGAGGAGGAGAAGGAGGAGGATGAGGAGGAAGAGAGGGAGTCCCTCGCCCCTCTTCGATCCCTGATCGACTCGACCCCCTTCGATTATCGACTACTCCTCGGCCTTCGACCCCTCTTGATCCCTCTTCGACCCTCGATGCCTCCTCGAGGTGGGAAGGCGGGAGGAGTTCCTGCTTCGTCGTCGTCCTCCTCGATCCCCATCAACCCTTGAACCCCTTCCATTCCTCGTCAATCCGGAGGAGACGGATGTGCAAGGGGAGAGAACGAGAGAGAGAGAGAAGAGAGAGAGAGTTATACATATATAGAGAGAAGAAACATAGAGAGAGGGAGAGGAAAGGGAGAGAGAGCAAACAGAGAGAGAAAGAGAGAGAGAGAGAGGAGAAGGGGAATATTGGGAGGGGGGAGGAGGGGGGATGGAGGGGGAGGATGGGAAAAGTGGGTGGGGGTGGAGGAGGAGAGAGTGAGAGAGGGAGGAAGGAGGGACGGAGGTAGGGGGAGGAGCAGGAGGCACCGAGTGGGAGGGCGGGCAGGAGATTCCCCCCATCCACCCTCGACGGCTCCCCGTCGACCCTCGAACGCCCCCCCCTCGACCCTCGAAGCCTCCCTCGACCCTCGCCCAGGGGGAAACCGAAACATACCGATGCTGCTACTATCTGCTACTCCACGGGCCTCTCCAGGGGTGAGCTCTGACCAGAATTCGGGAGAACCCGGCCGTGGCGACGAGGGCTCTCCAGGACGAGCAGCAGGTATCGGCATCTCCTCCTCCTCCTCCTCCTCCTCCTCCTCCTCCTCCTCCGCCGCCCCCCTCGAAAGCAGCCCCTCGACCATTGAAAGCCCCTCCCCCCCTGGGGGGAGGAGGCGGAGGAGGAGGAGGCGGAGGAGGGGTCACCACCTGAGTGGGCAGGTGTTCTGTGCCTGCATGGGAGGCTTGACGCAGTTCTACAACGCTACAGGAGCAGGAGAAAGAAGAGGAGGAGGAGGAGGAGGAGGAGGAGGAGGAGGAGGAGGAGGAGGGCCCCCCCCCCCCCGCGGGCTGGCCGCGCGCGGCCTCGCCTCGGCGAGGCCCTCCGCGGGGTCCAGCCGCAGCAACCCGAACACAGTGGCCAGCGGCCCCCGCGGTGGCGGCCGCGGCGGCGGCGCGTCTCGCGGCCGCGCGGTCCTGCGTGCGCGGCGCGCGCAGCAGCGGCGGCCCCACTGCTTCTGCTGCTGCGTGCGGTCCGCGGATCCTCCTCCTCCTCCTCCTCCTCTCTCCTCCTCCTCCTCCTCCTCCTCTTCCTCCTCCTGCTGCTGCTGCTGCTGCTGCTGCTGCTGCTGCTGCTGCTACTGCCTCCCCCCTCCCCCCTCCCTCCTCCTGCTCCTCCTGCTCCTCCTGCTCCGTAGCCATTTTGGCTCAAGGCAATGAACCGTCCCGACGACCGCGAGTCTTTCGGGGCGACTGAGCGCGAGGGAGGTTCCGCTTTGAGGCATCTCTCCAAACCAGTCCAGTCCATTTCAGGGGATCCCGATCCCGACAGAAGGTGCCTGTCGGTCCAAGCCCCTACCCAAGCAGTTTCGAAGCCATGGCGCCGAGCCCCGTAGTGCTGCACGGGCCGCGCAAGCCGCATTGGGGCTGCAGCCACTGTGGCCGCGCGGCCAACTGGGCGAGCCGAGTCACATGCTTGTGCGGCGCCAGCGCGCCGATGCGGGTGGTGGCCGCCGCTCGTGAGGCAGACAAAGCAGCAGCAGCAGGCGCTCCGTCCAAGAGAGTTGGCGGCTCAGGCCTTCGCCCTTCGCCAGCCCCTTGGAGCGCCGAGTTCAAGTACATTCAGCAGATGGAGCAGCGCCTCAAGGCCACAGAGGCAGAGCTTCGCAAAGTCAAGAGTGGCAACAGCGACAAGTCACAAGCAGAAGCAGCTGCTGCTCAGGACCCAGCTCAGGCTAAGCGTGCCAAAATTCTCAAGCAGATCGAGGTGTATGAGAAGGTCGTCAGGGACACCGCCGAGTTCGGCGGCGCCGTGCACGACGCGAACAAGGCCGCGCTCGAAGATCTTCGGGCTCAGGCTAAAGCGCCGCGGCCCCCAGCCACGGCGCACAAGACAGCGATGCAGAAGCTCGAGAAGTCCAAGCAGCAGCTGGTCAGGCAGCAGAGCGAGCTGGAAGAGTTGCAGCGCAAGGTGGCACAGCTACAACAAGATATTTCAGGGAAAGAGAGCGCGATCATCGCCAAGACGTCCGAGGTCAAGATACTGCAGCAAGAGGTCGCCGAGAGTGCGGCCAAGCTCAACCCGCAGCAGCCCTCGACCAATGTCAAGGACGAGGCGCTCGACGAGGAGACATTCAAGCTGGATACGGAGAGCGAAGACGTCAAAGCCGACCCAGAGCTCGTGGAGTTCTATGCCAAGTTCTCGGCCGACCCCGTTTTCACCAAGTACCAGCACTTCATTCGAGAGAAGTTCAAGAAGAAGGACGTGCCCACGCCGCAGGCGGAGCAGCAGCAATCTCCGCCCGCAGCGGGCACCGACGCCAGCAACAAGCGTGGCACCGACGATGAGCTCAACCTGCAGGAAGCTCAAGAATTGTGGAACGACTTGCAGAGTGACGCAGCCCAAGGTGACGGGGCCACCAAGCTGCTCGAGCTCGTCAACAAGCTCCACAAAGCCAAGAGGAGTCGTACTCGCAGCCCTGATCATGGCGCTCCAGGTCAGTGCGCGACTGGCTCCTAACACGTTCACCGCTACCCTCCAAGGTCAATGGTTCGACGCAGGAGGAGATAGCACACGCAATTCCAGTACTGGGCCGACTTCGATGAGCTCGGCTCCGTCAGTTCAGATTCTTGCAACCTCCGCAATTGGTGGAAGTACTGCAGCTGATGGGTATGGTCAGTCTGATATTGGATGCAGGCCACATGCCAACGATCCCATCACTGGCGTTCCCTGGATCTTGGGGGTCCCTGGGCAGTCCGTGTCGACGGACTCGTCGCCGCAGTCGTTGGAAGCAGCTCATGAAAACTGGCAATTTGAAGCGCAGCATTCGTCTAACGCCAGCCGAGATCAGCTTCCAAGAGTGAGCAGCCTCAGAGTATGCGGTGTTCGCAGTCAGGCTCCAGCTACTCCCGAGAGCGCTCTCCAGATGCATTTGATTGAGACCTTCAACGCCAACCAGGGGCGCAATACGTTAAATAAGCGAGTCAAAGCAAGCAAGGCCAAGATCATCCTGGCCCAAGAGATCGGTGATTTCACACATGACGTGGAAGAGCTCTACAGTTCCGCCGCAAAGTTGGGATGGTCAGTCATCGCACTACCAGGGGCTCCCACAGCAGGTCACCTTCCCACGGCTGGCGTCGCTGTTTTTGCTCGCATTGGGATTGGTCTGCGCTGGCCACCTGTAGCTAACACGTCGGAGATTGTTGCACATAGAGCGCAGCACATTCAAGTGGACGTCCCAGGCTGGCCGACCCTGAGTATTTTTAACATCTACCTCCACGCGTGCGAGGGCATGACAGTTAGGAACGCGACCATTCTCGCCAGAATTGGAGAAGAGATGGCTGGGCTCACACATCCAGCACTCATTGGGGGTGACTGGAACATGGGCACATATGTCGTTGAGGAGTCGACCTTTCCACTACATGCGCATGTGGAGATCACCGCTCCGAAAGAGGTCACCTGCCGCACTCCAACTTCAGCATCTACGATCGACTACTTCGCGCTGAGCGAGGCCGCCATGCTACTTTTTCGCACCGTCACCGTGGACGCCGAGTGGCACATCAAACCGCACAAGCCAGTTCACCTGCACATGGCGGCAGTAGGTAAGTCGTTGCAAGTCTTGACCTACGGCGCGGCGCCGAAGTTGTCACCAATCATCCCTGAAGGCCCTCACTTGCCAGATGATCCCTGGAGTCGGGCTGTCAGGTATGCTGACGAGGCGTTGGTTCTAGCCAAAGAAGCACGACCAGATGCAGCTTGGGGTCTTCTAACGTTGGCATGGGGTCAGTTCGCTGAGCAAGCAGCCCGTCGCATTGCTCATATTACTGGCACAGAGGTCAAAGATTTCGGCGCATACCCCAAATTCCTACAGCCAAGATGGGTGGACATCCACTATGAGCTGAAGGGCGCTCCTGGTATCCAAGCGCGTGCAGACGGATGGAAATGGCTTTCTGATATGATGACAACAATTGCTCAACTGCGTGAAAGCCGTCAGCCCGAGGAGATTAACAAGTTGCAAGACGAGGTTCTCATTCTGCAGTCATCCGCTTACCCTGGGCAAGGCCTCAATCGCAGGTTGGACGCCAGTGTCGAGCAAGCACGTCGAGTCGTCAGCGGTCACTTTCACGCAGACGCCATTCGCGAGTTGCAAGACGCATGGCAGGATGATGTTGGCCAAGCTTTTCAGGCAGCCGACAGAGACAGTAAAGCGAGATGGAAAGATTGGTGTCGTCAAGCCAGTGCTGGAGGACTTCGAGGCCTTCACAGACTGACACAAGTTCGACAAGTACAGGCTCCCACCACAGTTATAACTAGCGCTGGGAAGTATGCAGCTCATCCTCATGATGTTGTTGCTGCCATGGAAGCTGAATACACATCGATATGGCGAAGCTCCACGGGGGCCCCTAGAGCTTGGATCCCCGACAGAAGCTCTCATCGGCGAGCGGAACCTGAAGATATCCGCAAAGCCGCTCGCGCATTTCCCAGCACAACGTCAGCGGGCCTCGACGGACTTCATCCTCGACACCTGTTGCATCTCAGTGGGGATGCATTGAGAGTGCTAGCAGTTCTGTACGAAGCCATGGAATCACTTGGGATGCTTCCCAAGCAATTGGTATGTATTCCCATGCCTATGTTGCCAAAGCCTCAGGGAGGCCACCGTCTCATTATCTTGTACGCGTCGGCTTACCGCGTTTGGCAAAGGATGAGAAGATGCGAATATGATGAGTTGATGAAGGTGTTGGACAGGAAATACTGGGGCGCTGGCAAAGGTCGTAGTCCAATCGACAGTGCATGGAAGCTAGCAGCTCGCACAGAAGCCAGCACAGCCTCATATCGGTTTTCTGTCACGCTCATAGCAGGTTATTCCAAGTATTGCGAGAATATCGAGTTGAAACAGCTGCGGCAGAAGTTTATTCGCTTCGGAGCGGCCACGGTATCAGTCAAGCTCACCTACAACACCTGGCGTGCGCCAAGACTGATCCGACTGCTGCAGCATCACGGCAATCAACCTGGACATGCAGAGTACGGTATTCCTGCTGGCTGCGGGGTGGCTGACATAGCCATCAAAGTGCACGCGATCGAGCACTATGATTATTATGTGGCGCTCCATCCCTTAGTCGACTCCGCCAGCTATATAGACGACTCAAGCATGGGAGTCGAACGTGCTGACAGGTCCTCAGTCACCCCCCTCGCGGCCGAAGCTGGCAAAGGTTTCTTGGAGACGGCCGCTGCAATTGGAGCCGCAATCAATGAGGAGTTCGCAGTCCTCGCCAACGCGAGAGAACTGGCCGAGGAAGTTGCCATCAAGCTTGGTTTTTCGGCAGACAAGGCTGTCACATCGACCACCTATCTTGGCACGGATCAGGCAGCAGGCAGAGTTCGTGTGGCACCGAGAACCCGAGCGAAGATGTCCAAGCGCAAGGCCAAGCACCGTCTGCGTCTTCTCAAGCTGAGACGGTACAAGAGGGCCTTGCCTAAGCTTAAAGAGCAAAGGCTTGGCAAAATTTTTCGCGCTGGCGCCAGGCCAGCGCTAACTTACGGAATGGAAATATTGGGACTTGACAACGCTGAGTCATTGCAGCTGCGGCGTGATTACTGCAGGCAGGTTAAACCCTTCCATGGAGGCGTTTCGATCACAGCAAAGCTGGTGTTAGACGGCGACCCCGCATTGCGTCAGGCTGTAGCGCCAGCGTTGCAGTGGAGTCGAATGGTCTGGATGGCAGTATCGCAGCCAGACGCAGCAGTTGTCTCCTTGCAGGTGCCCAAGTCATGGTGGGACAAGGCCTTACTCCACCTTGATGTTGCAGCACTAGAACGGAAGCAAACGAGAGGTCCCCTGGTTCGCGCAGCACTGTGTGTACGCAGAGTTGGTGGGTCCATCAGTCAAGTACAATTTGGAAAGATCACCGAGGAGCTGACATTCCCCTGGGGCAGCTCACGCCAGGCATCCTCGAGGATCTCATGAGCAAGGCCATGCAGCGTCAACTTGAGATGACCTTGGCCGTCAAATGGGGAGCGCCTCCAGGATCTCGTGTTACATTTGACTTGATTCGTGCAGCAGTTCGGCCCAAGAACCGTCGTCTCAACAAGCATCAGAAAATTCTTGTTCGAGCGTCGGCGGTGGAAGGTCATTGGACCAAGGAGCGAGCACGTCTCAGAGGTTATCAAACTGATGGTCGCTGCAAGTGTGGAGCAGCAGATACTTTTCACCACAGGCTGTTTACTTGTTCCTTGCCCGAGGTGATTGCAGCTAGAGCCGAATCCGAGGTGCCAGCATCATTTATCCAAGCAGGTTTTGATCATCCAGATGAGAGGTACTTCACCCAAGGCTGCTTCATCTACGAGGACAGCGACATCCCAGAGCTCGATCCAGGTGTTGAGGCGCATTTAGTCACTCCTGAGGGCGAAGATATTGATGCTGAACCTGAGCAATTAGCTGAGCAACTTGTGCAAGGTGACAGGTTGGAATTCGCAGTTGATGGATCCTGCAGCAAGCCTTCACTGGTCACTCTTCAGAGAGCTGGGTGGGCTGTGGTGCTGATGAACCCTACGGCTGACACACCAGTTGCAGTCATGTACGGCGCGGTCCCCAGAGCCATGCCCCAGTCGTCAGCGATGGCGGAGTTCCTGAGCATGGCGTTCGTTGGGCAGATCGCCGACCGACCGTCCACGGTATATGCAGATTTCATGGCAGTGGTGAAGGCGGTACTGAAGTCGAAGCAGGAACAGTTGCAGGCCAAGTCAATGTACTCGTGCGTGCAGTTCTTTGGCCACCAGATGCGCGGCTACGACGACATCCAGAGCGTCCGCCACGTCAAGGCCCACAAGTCTGGCGAGCAGTACCAGGCGCTCTCGGACGAGGATAGGCGTATCACGGACGCCAACGTGGTCGCCGATGCGTTCGCCAAAAAAGCTGCGCTCTTGCACCCATCTGCTTCTCCTGAGTTCCTTGTGAGAGTAGAGGAAGCTTGCACCCATGCCAATCATTTTGTGAAGTTGTGTGCCCACGTTCTCCCGTGTTTCGAGCTTGAGGAAAGGTTTTCCAGGCTCCCTGTGTTCGAGCGGTCGAGGCACACTATGAAAGACAACTGGCATGACTGGTGCAGAACCTCCATTGGCACTCAGTGTAGGAATTGTCTCAGCGTTTTAGAGCCTGGACGCGACAGGCCCATGCTGGGCTGCAGAGGGCTGCCCAAGTTTTTGAAAGATTTCAGGCGAAATCCCCTGGGCCACCAGTTGGTTGCTGTTTCCCAAGGGAACGTGTCCAGCTGGAGCTGCGCGGGGCCTGCCTGCACAGCTCCAGTTTTTGTTTGTTATTTGTGTGGGGCCTGGGCCCAGCAGCGTCGGAAAGACAAGCTTCGCTCCCCTTGCGTGAAGCCTACGTCTAAGGGTGAAGAAGTGCTGCGAAATCTCATGAGGGGAGTCGGTCCGCATAAGCGGCTGGCCAGACGCATCGATTCCGTCGCGCCCCTTCTGAGAGTCGCCCTCGACAGTGCTCAGCCCTCGTCGAGTTCCACAAGCGTCACTCGATCGAATCCCGATTCTGTCATGTCCTACGAGGTTCGTATGGCAGCATTGCACGCCCGAATCAAGGCAAAGGAGGAGGCTGCCCGAGGCACAACCCCCTCCCGATAGAGCGGCGGCCACCCGCTGCTCGACCAGTTCCAGGCGGGCGCGCGCGCGCCCGTGCTGTCAAGCAGTCATGTGACAAGGTACTCTTGCAGTCATTTAGTCATTTAGTCCTGCTCCTCCTGCTGCCGCTGCCCCTCCTCTTCCCTCCTCCCTCCTTTCTCCTCTTCCCTCCTCCCTCCTTTCTCCTCCTCCCTCCTCCCTCCTCCCTCCTCCCTCCTCCCTTCTCCCTCCCTCCTCCCTCCTCCCTCCTCCCTCCTCCCTCCCTCCTCCCTCCACCCTCCTCCCTCCTCCTCCTCCTCCTCCTCCTCCTCCTCCTCCTTCCTCCTCCTCTGCCTCCTCCTCCTCCTCCTCCTCTGTCTCCTCCTCCTCCTCCCTTCTCCTCATCCCTCCTCCTCCTCCTCCTCCTCCCTTCTCCTCCCTTCTCCTCCGTGCTCACTGCTCCCTCCTCATCGAGCTTACGTCTCCACGACAGGCCCTCCAGAGGCGGGCCAGGGCGCCGCGCGCCACCGCGGGCCCGCAGTCGGGGCGGCGCACCCCGCAGAGATCGGGCACGCGGCTCGGCCCGCTGCTCTTCCGAGGTGCGGGGCGGCAAGGAGCGGCGGGCCCTGAGCCGCGGCGCCGGGCCGCTCCAATTGCGCGCGGGCGACCCCGCCAGTGGAGCGCCCCTGGAGGGGTTAGATTATGGACGATGCGCTTCAGCTTCATCACTTCGCTGCTCCCCGGGCTCACCAGCGACTGACCGCTGGGCCGAGGCACCGCCGAAACCCGGGGGGGTAGAAGGAACACCCCGAACCCCCTGGAGAAGGACGGAGAAGGGGTGGAGGGAGGAGTAGAGACACGCTGGGTGCGCTCGCGCCGTATCTGACAACCTACCCCTCACACTCATGCCTTCCCATTGCGTTGTTGCTTTAACTATCCGCTGACGCGCGTAACAGCGGACCTGGAATTCCCATAAACACTACATCGTGTTCTGCGCAATCAGAAAGGGGAGCTGGGGAAGAGGTGGCTGATGAGCAGGAGGAAGATGAACACGATGGAGAAGAAGAAAATGATGATGATGATGATGATGATGATGATGATGATGATGATGATGATGATGATGATGATTATGATGATGATGATGATGATGATGATGATCCCCGCGGCTGAATGGGTCAAGAGCTCCCAAAGAGATGATGCTGATGACGATGATGATGACGATGATGCTGATGCTGATGCTGATGATGCTGATGATGATGATGATGATGATGATGATGATGATGATGATGAGAAACAGCAGCAGCAGGAGCAGGAGGAGCAGGAGGACCAAGGACTGCGAAGGAGGGGGGCGACAACGGCGAGGAAGGACTCGGATCCAGAAATGTGGCCCGCGCTGGGCGAAAGCGCCTTCCTGAACGACGGGAGCAAAGTGCCGATCCCGAAACGGGGCCAACGCCTCGGCGGGAGCACCCATTTTGAAAAATCAGACGCGCTCCGATCGAACAAATCAATTGGAAAACGAGCTTCGAAATCCTGTGCGTGAGAGGCAGTGTGCAGGAGAAGAAGGCCGCCGCTCGGGCAGAGACTGAGTGTAGCACTCATATTGAGCAATTAAAGAGAGGAGATGGGAAGGAGGATCCCTGACCAATCTGCCAGGTTTACGAGCGGGCCACCATTTGACAGTCATTTGGGGTCAACACAGGCGCTGCCAAATGGGGAACACCCATCGCCTGGGGACAACCCCGACGCATAGCCCGTTGCCGGGGGCTGACAGCCAGTGGGGCCCACTGTCCATCAGCCCCTCCTCACTGTAACACACAAGAGAAGAGGAGAGGATCAAGGAGAGCAGGGAGGAGAGGAGGAGGAGGACCAGTGTCAACCCCCCTCCCTTCAAGCTCCTTCTTCGTAGGCCCCTACAACGGTTCATTTAGATTGAAGGAACTGCTTCGTTGGAAGATACCGGTTTGAAGACCCTGAACAATGCCAAAACATTGTTCTCGGGATTCCAACGCCCGGATCAACCTGACTGTTGCGTCTTGACGACCCTGAATCGCGCCAGAACGCCATTCCTAGGACTTCACGCACTGAAGATCAACGTAACTGTTGCACCAACATAATCCTGAATCCTTCCAGAACGCAATTTGTGGTACGTTGATGATGGGAATCCGTGAAACTCCTGCAATGTTTAAAACGAATGTGCGCCGCGCTAAGGCGAGAACCACATTTAAAAAACCACCCCCCCTCAATCCGTGAAACTCTTGCAGATTTTTAAAGCGAGTGTGCGCCGCGCTAAGGCGAGAACCACATTTTGACCCCCCCCCTCAATCCGTGAAACTCTTGCAGATGTGTTGAAACGAATGTGCGACGCGCAAAGGCGAGAGCCACATTTTGAAAACCACCCGCCCTCAATCCGTGAAACTCTTGCAACTGAGCGTGCGCCGCGCTAAGGCGAGAGCCACATTTTGAAAACGACCCGCCCTCCATCTGTGAAGCTGTTGCCAATGTTTAAGCTTCGCCCGGCCCGTAAAAACTGGCTTCGGGGTGCTACAGGGAGACGTTATTTAGGAAGGAGGGGGAGGAGGAGGAGGAGGAAACGAGGGAGGAGGAGGAGGAAGAGGAGGAGGAGGAGGAAACGAGGGAGGAGCAGAAGAGGAGCACGGAGGAGAAATCACGCCGCCAAGAGATGTGCACGAGAGTCGGGCCGCGGCCCTGCCGGCCCAGATTCCACAAGGGGGCCCACGGGGGCCTCGCCGCGGCGACCGCCCCCGTGGGCGGGCGGGGCAGCGCCGGCCCCCGGGCGCCTCAGAGGTGTGCAGAGGGGGCGTGCGGGGGAGGGGGAGGGCTTCCTGGAATAGAAGAAGAACAAATATAGACATAAACTTTAAGCGCTCCGCGCGGACTGCTTGGATCTGCGCTGGACCCCTCCCTGGCGCGCGGAGCGCGCCAAGGGCGGCGCCGGAGGCCCCGCCGGGGGGCGCCAGGCGCGGATCCAAGAAATCCGCGCGGAGCGCCAAAAGTTTATGTTTATGTGTTTGCTTCTTCGATAGAAGGAGGCTGCTTCTCAGAAGGTGCTGGCCTTACATCTACAAGCAAGGCCCGCCGCCTCTGCGAAGCAGGGATGCTTCTGAGAAGCCCTCCCCCCTCCCCCGTAACCCCCTTCTGCGGGTGGCTGATCAGGGGTGCATCATCCACGTGAGGAACAGGCCGCCCACGAACGCGGAGCCGAACACGGACGCGATGGCCTGCACGGGGCGCAGAAGGACATGCTGCAGGGCGTTTGGAGACGAAGCACGAGATGCCCAAGAGCAGGAGCTCCAGAATTCAGGGCTGTTGCGTGTATATCTCGCGGCGCGGGGGCGTGGCGGAGCGCAAAACTGGGGGCGCAGAAGGACACACTAGTACCATGTGCTGACCCGGGGCCCGACAACAAGAAACCTTCCACAAGAAACCCAACCCTGAGACCCCAGGTCACGCCGTCCATCGCAAAACCAGCGACACCCAAGAAGCCCAGGGCACCCATGGAGGCAGGCAGGGTGCCTCTTGGCATATGGGCCCCCGCTGCCCATCGTCTCCCGAGCGGCATGGCACGAGAGCACCCGCATCGGAGCTCGTGCCGGGGCACTCCCGAGCGTGCGCGTCGCCCCTGCGGGGGCCGACGCGCACACGGCATGCAGGTATTTGCCCGGGTGGCGCCGCGAGCCTGGGGCATGTTGTAGTCCATCCAGTGCAGCACGAAGGTGCCGTCGGCGATCGGCCTCGGGTGGGAAAGACGCCCGAAAGGGGTGCGGAGAAGATGGGTACAGTGCCGACCAACAAATGTTGTCCCAAACCGACAGCGGCCGCTGTTGCGCAAGCGGCTTCTCGTCTTCAAAGAACGACGTCCGCGGCGGCGCGGACAGCGAGTCCTGTTCAAAATGGACAAGAACTGCTGTTGGGCATTGTACCCATTCTTTCCGTACCCATTTCGATCGTCCCGATTGGGGGAACAGAGAGGTACCGATGCCGCTGCTCCCCAGACCTCTCCAGCCGTGGCGGCGAGGAGGGCTTTCCAAGACGAGCAACGGGTATCGGTGTCTTCTCCTCCTCTGAGGCCTGGTCGGGCTGTGCTTGCACGCACACAGCAGCTTCCACCCGGTGTGGCGCGGCTGGTAGGGGATGGGCGTGAAGCCGCGCTCCTTGCAGAAGCCCGGGTACTCCTCCCACGGCTGCGTAGTGCTCTCGCCGCTGGTGTCGAACATGTAGATCTCCTTCTCCTTGGCGGCGCCCGCAAGGGGGCGGCGCAAGGGGTGTGGGCTTCTAAGAGGTGTCGGGGCTTCTGAGAAGGTAAGGCGGCTTCTTAGCAGCCGGCCCGGCTTCTAAGAAGACTTCATATAATCAAGGGCGAGAGTGATGTCATGGTAAGATTGGCTCAGGCTACGCTCCAGGATTTCCAGAGTACCTAGCGGCGCAGCTGGTGCGGAACATAAAGAATACAGGAACTCCTGGAAGACTTGGCAATCCTGGAACGTATCATTTCATCACGACAGGGGATAAGCACAGGGGGGCGGGACACATCGACCTGGAATCGGCAACACATCGCCGATAGATCGGCGACAGGCCCCCGATAATGAAACCGCACCCTCCTGGGCAGGCTGGGGCTGTCGGGCCCCTAGCGGCGATCAATGGGCGATTGGGCGTCGATGCATCCCCCCCGTATGCCTATCCCCCCCCCTTTCGTTGACACTGATCTTGCTCCTCTGAGAATCGGAGAATCGTGGGGGGCCTTCTGAGAAGACCCCTGCCCTCTTCGAAGCCCCTTCGCCGTCTCAAAGGCCCGGCCCCTAGCGACCGCCCCCTTGTGGGCGCGCCCACCCGTCTCCTCGCAGTAGACCGCGTACGGCAGCCACCGGGGGGTGCACGGCACCTGCTCGTAGGGGAACCACCTGGGCGACGAAAAGAAAGGGTCTTACGCGAGATGGCACGGCGACCTTACGCGGTGGCTTACGCGGGCCGCCAGCGCGGCATGCTACAGTAGAGACGATGGCGCTCACGCGCGGCCTTACGCGGGCAGCTTGCGCGCCAGTGTCGGTGAAGACGACCCCGCCGTTTGGCACCGCCCACCTGTTCCACGGCGAGGGCAGGCGATGGGGACAGAAGGGCAGAAGGCTGTGCAGACATCTCGGGGGCCCGCGCGGATTTTTCTCTCTTGGGCCGGCGCTGCGTGCTCCCTTGAGGACGCCGGCAGGAGCAAGGCCACATACGCTCGAGCCAGATCGCAGATCTCCGAGGGCGGGCTGGCCTCGGAGATGTATCCTAGGCCACCTACAGAGGCACAGTGCACGGCATACCGCAAACATGCCTTCTAGGAGGTCCGCGCGGAGTTCTCGGATCCGTGCTGGACCCCCCCCCCCTCCCTGGCGCGCGGAGCGCGCCAGGGGCAGCGCCAGAGGCGCTGCCAGAGGGGCCCAACGCCGATCCAAGAAATCTGCGCGGACCTCTGAGAAATGATGCTTATGCCTTTGTTGTTCCTCGAATCCAGCATCGCGCATCGCGCCCCAGGATGCGCGGGTATCTCCGTGCCCTCGCGACGCCACCTCGGAGAACGGCGCCTCTGCAAGCCACGACGCCGTGCGCGAAGCGCCGTTACCTCCGCGCCAGTGGTGACCTAGGTGTCGGGCGCCGCGGCGTCCCAGAGCGTTCTGGAACGCGCTGAGAGCAGGTCCAAGAGCATACACCACCATCACCACCACCACCACCACCACCACCACCACCACCACCACCACCACCACCACCACCACCACCACCGCCAACGCCACCGCCAACGCCAGCGCCAGCGCCAGCGCCAGCGCCAGCGCCAGCGCCAGCGCCAGCGCCAGCGCCAGCGCCAGCGCCAGCGCCACCACCACCACCACCACCACCACCACCACCACCACCACCACCACCACCACCACCACCACCACCACCATTCCTCCTCCCTCCTCCACCCTCTTCTGCCTCTCTCCTTTCCTGGGCGAGGGAAGGGGTCAGGGAGGTGGTGGTGGTGGTGGTGGTGGTGGTGGTGGTGGTGGTGGTGGTGGTGGTGGTGGTGGTGGTGGTGGTGGTGGTGGTGGTGGTGGTATACTCTTGGGCCCCACACTGAGAACGTTTCTTTTTTTTTCGCAAGAGGGTCCAAGATGTGCCTCTCGGTGGTCCTCGCCGCGACAGAACGCACACGTCCGAGCGATGCCGAGCGTTCCTGAGTATCGTTTATCTGATCCCCATCCCCAGCGGCGTGGCCTGGGCCCCACTGGCCGACTTGTCCCCCTAGATGGGGATATAGGTCGTTCCCTTCGGGTTTCGAGGGCTGTATCCCCAACTGGGAAGGGGATGGGGATGGGGATGGGGGTCGGTCAAACGTTCCAGTACACTCTGGAGCGATGTGTCTTCGTCCTACAGTGGGGGCCAAGTCCACAAGAAACCTTTCGCAAAAAACCCAAACCTGAGACCCCAGGACGCCCGTGAATTTTTGCTGTGGGACGTCACGCCTTCCACAGCAAAACCAGCGACACCCAAGAAACCCAGGGCACCCTGAAGGCAAGCAGGGTGTTTCTTGGCATGGATCTCCACTGTAGCCCTTCACCCCGACGCCCCATCCCCTGGCGCGCGAGGCGCGCCAGGGGCGGCGCCGGGGGCGCTGCTGGGGGCGGGGTGGCCCAGCAAATCCGTGCGGACCTCCAGAAGTCTCTGGCTGCCCTGAGATCCGCCGTTGCGAAGCATTCGAGCATGGCGCAAAATTACAACCAGAGCCCTGGACCTCATCGTTCTACCGTATTGCTCGAGCCGGATCGATCTGTGATGGTCCTGGGGCCCGAAGCCAGATGAAAAGCCCAGGTGTGCAGACACTTCAGCACCCAGATCTAGAGGACCAAATAATCACACAAGCATGAACTCTTGGAGGTGCGCGCGATCGGCGCTGTCGGCGGCGAGCGAGGGGGGAAGTCAAGGTGGCGGGACTTCTCAGAAGCCCTCGCGCCTTCTGAGAGGTTTACTGTGTCTTCCAGAAAGGCTTGGAAGACTCCTCAGAAGGCCGGGGGGCTTCCGAGCCTACTGGAAAGGCTCGCCCCTTCTCACTTCCCCACCCTCGCTCGCCGCCGACGCTGGACCCCTCTCCCTGGAGCGCGGAGCGCCCCAGGGGCAGCGCCGGAGGCGCCGCCAGGGGGGCCCCAGCACTCATACAAGGGATCCGCGCGGAGCTCCGAAAGTCTAACCCTGAGCTCCAAATAGCAATCTCCTGGGGGTAATGAAATGCGGGGTTCAGGCGGGATAACAAACGTTTTCCCGGGGATCTCAGTAATGCTCGTGCAGTTTTTCTTCTCCTCGAGGATCTCAGGGTGGGCCGCCTGCTTGCCCTTCCGGAGGGGCGCCGTTGTGGGGCGACACGTACTCCGGCGCCGCGCCCAGGAAGCAGCCGCGGCGGCCGGCGGAGGAGCCCGCGAGGCTCAGCCTCGACCTCAGGCCGCGAGCGGCCGCCGCCGCGAGCATCGCTGCAGGGCGGGCTCCCCTCCTGGAGGCCTCCCAGATGGGGTCCGAACGAGTAGGGCCGGAGGATCGCGCCGCATCGCCGATGCATCGTCGATGCATCGGCCATGCGTCGGCGATGCATCGGCGGCGTCGGCGATGCATCAGCGCCGTCGGCGTGGAGAACATCGGGCTCCACATCGGGCCGCATCGCCGATGCATCGGTCCACTCGGACCCCATCTGGGAGGCCTAAGAGTCAGGTCGGGCCCGTCCACCTGCAGGGGGATTTGGGAGAACAGATACGGAGAAATACCCTACAAATGCTCATAAATAGTCCAGAGATCGTCCCCCGACGATTTTTTCACTATTTCTGAAGATCCCTCCTGTAGAGGGACAGGCCCGACTTGAGCCTAGAGATTCCCGTCGAGGCGGGGGCGGCTCGGCCCAAGACCCTAGGCGAGCACGTCCTGAGCCGGCATGGCTGCGGAGGGAGGCGGCGCCGTGATCTGTCCCACTGGCGTGCTTTTTTTTGTTCGTGGGCTTCGGCCCTCGGGTGCCTCTGCGGGCCACTCCGGAGGTCGGGGGCACCGAGCTGGTTGGTCGCAGCGGCGCGGATCCACGCCGAGGCCACAGGCGGCCGAGGCCGAGGGACACTGCGGGGCCCACCTGGGCACAGTAGGAGCGGGAGGAGAGCAGGCGTGGGGGAGGGGGGCGGAGCACGCTCAGAGCATGAACTCATTGAACGTGTGTGCGGTAGCTCTCGGGGGCGCGCAAACACGGATTCGCGATCCATGGATTTGGCGCGCGGTCGCCAAGTCCATGGATCGGGGGACGTGCCCTCCCCAAAATGCGGCCGGTGGCGCCTCGCTCGGCGGCGGAAATCTGCGATTTCCCATGGAAACGGGACCCGCCGCTAATCCACGTCCCCTTAATCCATGTTTGCGATCGCCTGAGAAGGACGCCTGTCCAACCCCAGGCGCTGGAGGCGACCTGGACTTCTCAAAGGACCCGGATGCTTCTGAGAGAAGCCCTCGGGCCTGAGGGCAGGAGAGCCCATAATCGAATCGGTAAGTCGGATCGGCGATCGAAATGAATCGGATCGGCGGAAATCGGCAGTCAAGTCGGGAAAAGTCGAATCGGCGACATCGGCAGGCTAGTCGGCCTCCAGTGAAAAATCGGATCCCAAATCGGAATCCAAAGTCGAGTCGAATCGAAATCGGAGACCATTGAAGTCGAATCGATCCTCCTCCTCCTCCTCCTCCTCCTCCTCCTCCTCCTCCGCTGCCGCATCCCGTAACCGCCGAGGCTTGGATCCAAAGTCGTTCCATGTGTTAAGACAATTAATAAAGACGGCACCGGGACCCCTCCCCTGGCGCGCGGAGCGCGCCAGCAGCGCTGGAGGCGCCGCCAAGGGGGCCCAATGCCAATCCAACAAATCCGCAGACCTCCGAAAATTTGTGCACATATTTCATGGGCCCGCTCGCGGCCAGATTGTGGGGATCTCTCGAGCGGTCTGCCTGTTCGGTGGCTTGGACTTGTCTGCTTTCGGAGCAGATTGTGAGGATGTCTCAGGCGATGTGTGTGCTTGTTTCAGCGCCCCAAGGGGGAGCCGCCAGGGAAGCACGTTCGCGGCCAGATTGTGGGCATGCCTCAAGCGGTTTGCCTGGTTGGTGGCCCGGACTCCTTGTGCTTTCAGAGCAGGGTTGTGAGGATGTCTCGGGCGATGTGCTTGCTTCACCGACCCAGGGGGGAGCCTCCAGGGTGTATTTCTCAAGCCCGTTCGCGGCCAGATTGTGGGGAGGCCTCAAGCGGTTTGCCTGGTTGGTGGCCTGGACTCCTTGTGCTTTCAGAGCAGGACTGTGAGGATGTCTCGAGCGAGGCGCTGGTTTCAATGACTCGAGCAAGGCGCCGGTTTCAGCACCCTCGGCGGCCAGATCGTGGGATGTATCGAGCTCGGCGCTCGGTTTTGCACATGCGACTCCTGTCCACTCAGAGCCCCATGACCACTTCGATGTAGGGAGAAGGACGGTCGCTAGGACGAAGGAGGGAGGACGGAGGAGGACGCAGGAAGAGGAAGAAGGGAGGAGGGAGGAAAAGAAGGGAGGGGGTACGACGAGTAGTGAGAGGAAGGCGAGGGGAAGTGGCCTGCTCACCGCATGTCTTGTGTGTCTGTGAGTCGTCGTTGTCGCTGTCCCTCATCGTCGCCGCCGCCGCCGCCGCCGACGTCGTCGCCGTCGTCGTCGTCGTCGTCGTCGCCGTGGTCGTGGTCGTGGTCGTGGTCGTGGCCGTGGTCGTGGTCGTGGTCGTGATCGTGGTCGTCGTCGTCGTCGTCCTCGTCGCCCACTCGGACTCACTCTCGCACCCAGACGCTCACGGCCAGACGCTCACAGCGGGACGTGCCCAGAGGCGAGATGCAAAGATGGGGATCTCCGCGGCGAGTCGTTCACTGCTCTCTTCGGATGCTCCAGAGCCAACACTTTCTTGCTCCTCGAACGTGTTGCTCCTCGAATGGCCTGGAGGCCCGACGCGGTGACCGGTGCCAACCCTGCCCCGCCCTGGAAGCCGCGCGGGGGGGGGGGGCGGACGGCCACGGGCTGCAGGCCGCGGCCGACGGGTGTGGGGGGGGGGCAGGCGGTGCGCAGGCGGCGGGCGGACGGGCAGGCGGCGAGGAGAGCGGCAGCGACGGCGGGCGGACGGACAGGCGGGCAAGGGTGACCTCTGCCAGCCCTGCCCCGCACGGACGCCCCCGGGCGACGACGTCCTCGGGCCGGCCCGGTCGTGCGGCGCGATGAGCCTGGCGGTGGCCCCCGGCGCTGGGGGAGGGGCGGGGTGGCGGCCGCGAGAGCGAGGCGGCCAAATCGTCGTCATCGTCCTCATCCTCCTCCTCAGCCGCTTCCGTCCGTCCGTCCCTGTCCCCCCTTCCTTCTATTCCTCCCTCCTCCCTCCTCACTCGTCCTCCTCGCCCCCCCTCCTCCTCGTCCTCTTTGTCCTCTTCGTCCTCCTCGGTCTTCTCGGTCCTCCTCGGTCTCCCCGGAAAGGCCTATCCCCAACTGGGGTGGTGGGATTGTGGAGCTGAGATAATGTGGCCTGGTGGGATGAGGGTAAGGGGCACGACACTGACTGATTGCAGACCGTTCGCGCACTGCTGTCGTCTGCGGCTCAAAGCAGGCTGACAAGTCCCGCCGGCTAAACTAGTCTCAACGCTGACAGTTTTTCGGGGATTGACAGAACCCCCTTTAGTAAAACGTAGTTTAGTGAAAACGACCTCGGGCCGAAACCAGGCGGGCGCAAGCCTTGAAAATGACGGCCACGGCGCCCTCTCGAGAACCGAAAACGGACAATCCACTCATCGACGTGTCAGGGTGGGGGTTCTGTCCACCCCCGAGTTGTTGCACCTTGAGACTGCCTCGTCAAGGCAATGGGCATGGGAAGCAAGGGGACGGGACGGGTTTTGACGTCAACGGCCAGGGCCCCCCGAGCACATGGAAGGAGGTCGAGGGAGGCCGTGCCGACCGCCGTGGGCACGGCGCGCGGCCGTGGAGAGCGATGGGGCCCAGCGAGGCGAGGAGAGGGAGCGGGGGGGGGGCGGCGAGGGCAGGGGAGGCGAGCGGGAGTAGAATAAGAAGAAGCAAAAACGCCATAAACATAAACTTTTGGCGCTCAGCGCGGACTTCTCGGATCCGCGCTGGACCCCCCTCGCAGCGATGGCAGCAGCCGGAAGGATGTCTTCGATCATGTGCCGGCGCCTGTCGGGCTCGGGGGTGGGAGCATAAATTGCCGCATGTAGCCTTAGGTCGGACGTGTCCCCCTACAGGCGGATTTTGAACGAAAAAAAGCACCCCCCAAATGCTAACAAAAAAGCCATAGTGGTCCCGATATGATTTGTCTTGACTATTTTCGAAGATTCCTCCTGTAGAGGGACAGGCCCGACATAAATGTAGCCCAGAAAGCGAGCGGGAGAGAGAGAGGGGCGGGAGAGGGTGAGGCGCGGAGCGCAGGGAACGGATGGGCGGGGGAGGCCCTGGGAACGGGGTGCAGAGGGCATACGAGCGTGGGCAGGGCGCCGTCGTCGTCGTCGCCTTCGTCGGACGGTCGTCGTCGTCGTCGGACGGTCGTCGTCGTCGTCGTCGTCGTCCGACGTGCACGCGGGCGGCAGCCTCGTCTGCGGCAGCCGTCCCCCCGCTCCCGTCGGGGGGACGGCGGAGCCCCGTCGCCGTGGGTGCCGCCCGCCTCGGCGGCCGCTCCCAGAGAGGACGAGGGGGCGCAGCCGGCCGCCGACCTCTGGAAGCGTGTGCTCGTGCGGCGGTTTCGTCCTCGGAGGTTGGCAGAAGGGGGCCGACGGGCTCGCCACGACGGCAGCGCGCGCCAAGGAGGGCGGCAAGAACGATGCAAGAGATCCGTGCGGACCTCCGAGAGTGCACGTGTCGTGCAGTTGTCCTCTTGCAGGTGGTTGTCAAAACGGGGCGCACATGCGTCTGAGCAACTTGAAGCGGCTTCAAGGACGGCAGACTGCTCCTTTGTGAAATGGGGCTCTCGCTGGAGACTTCCATGTGTAGCACCTGTACGGATGGATGTGGTTCCTTTTCGAAATGGGGCTTTCGGTTGAGACGCCCCCGATGCGCATGGCCAGAATTGCAAACATGCGCATCAGCTACACGGATGGTGGGCGGCCTTTTTCAAAGCGGGGATCTCACTGGACACCTCGTTGAACTGCATGGTCATAGTACCTTTTTATCACTCCTGGCTGCGCGCTAGAAGAATGCAAGGCAATTCCTTTTCCAAACGGGGGCTCTCGCCTGAATAGCAGGTCAATGGGGTGATGGTCTTTCATTGGGGCGCATCCTGTAGTGAACAGGAAGGCCTGGAGGGACTTATGAGGGGACTTGAGACGAGAGGATGTATTGCAGCATCGCTGGTGTATCTGTGCTTTACTCTGGTCCTTCTTCTGTTCCTCCTCCTCGTCCTCCTCCTCCTGCTCCTCCTCTCTCTCCTCCCCCACTCCCCCTCCTCCTCCCTCCCCCTTCTCCCCCGCCTCCCTCCTTCTCCCTTCCCCTGACTCGGGGGTAGGGAGGGCCGACAAAGCTCGGTGCACACACTGGTCTTCCGACCAAACTTCGTGTTCTGTCGTCGGTGTGCCAGGTGCGCCGACGCCAGATGGGGCGGCCTGCATGTCCCATGCCTCCGTGGAAAGCCTCGATTGGCAGGCGTTAGGCTGAATCGTTTTTGAGCAAGGCTCACGCACGACCACCAAGATGCCCTGTTCCGGGCTGCCGCGCAGCCGTACTGAGTCTGGCCCAGGGTCGGCCTGGGTAACTTTGCAGTGCAGGCGAGGGCCGATGGGTTCGCTCGTCCGTCACTCGCTTGACAGCTGCATCCCCGACAACATGGCCTGTCTCAGAACTCAAAAAACTATGCGCATCTCTTGGGAGCGCCTGTTTCACCTCCGCCGGGCTCTCGCCGGGGGAGCCGCCCCCTCACTGTGTCTACTTCCGCCGCCCTTCCGCCAGGGAAGAGATGTCGTCGTCCCGATCCCTTGAGGGCCAGGCCTCTCTTGGTGGAGCGCAGCATCTCCCCCCGCTCCTCCTCCTCCTCCTCCTCCTCCTCCTCCTCCTCCTCCTCCTCCTCCTCCTCCTCCTCCTCCTCCTTCCTCCTCCCAACCCCCCCCTCCCCCTCCCCCTCCCCCTCCCCCTCCTCCTCCTCCTCCTCCTCCTCCTCCTCCTCCTCCTCCTCCTCCTCCTCCTCCTCCTTTCCTCCTCCTCCTCCTCCTCGTCCGCTGCAGCAAGCGCCGGCGCCGGCGCCGACGATGACGACGAAGACGACAACGACGACGACGACGTTGACGTTGAGGTTGACGTTGATGTTGACGTTGACATCGACGTTGACGACGACGATGACGACGACGCCAAGGCCGACGAGGCCGCCGACGCCGACGTCGACGCCAACGCCGACGCCGACGCCGACGCCGACAACGACGCCGACGCCGACGCCGGCGCCGGCGCCGGCGGCGACGACGACGACGACGACGACGACGACGCCGACGCCGAGCGCGCGGTATGCGCGGAAGCGAGGCAGGTTGCTCGCGGGGCCTGAGGCTCTCCTCGAGGTCGTCCTCGTCGCCCCCGTGGTCGGAAGGCGTCGGAGACGCTCCAGGGAGACCCCCCCGGGAGGGCGCCAGGGTGCTCCCTGCTCCACCTGCTCCTCCTCCTCCTCCTCCTCCTCCCTCCTCTCCTCTGTCCTCTGTCCCCCTCCTGTCCCCCTCCTCGCCCCTCCTCCTCCTTGTCCTCCACCACCACCTCCTCCTCCTCCTCCTCTTCCTCCTCCTCCTCCTCCTCCTCCTCCTCCCATCGTCCTCTCCTCCTGTTTTCCTCCCTCCTCCTCCTCCTCCTCCTCCTCCTCATTCCCCCATCCTCCTCCTCATCACGACCATCACCTCACTGAGGATGGGATGGAGGAGGAGGAGGAGGAGAAGGACCAGTGAAAACCCAAGAGTCATCAACGATGTTGGAAAAAAACCTCCCTCCAAGCTCCCTCTTCATATGTCCCTACAACGGTTCATTTCCACTGATGGAACTGCCTCGTTGGAAGACACCCATTTGAAGACCCTGAAACATGCCAACACCTTGTTTTCGGGATTCCAACGCCACGGATCAACTTGACGATCCGGAATCGTGCCAGAACGCCATTCTTAGGACTTCAACGCAGATAAACAACATAACCGCTGCACCAGCACAATCCTGAATCCTTGCGAAACACCATGTCTGGTACGTTGATGACGGGAACGGTGAAACTTTTGAAATGTTGTGAACGAATGTGCGCGGCGCTAAAGCGAAAACCACATGTTGAAAAAGAACCGCCCTCAATCCGTGAAGCTCTTGCGAAATTGTAAAACGAATGTGCGCCGCGCTACGGCGAGAACCACATGTCGAAAACCACTCGCCCTCAATCCGTGAAACTCTTGCAATGTTTTAAACCGAATGTGCGTCGCGCTAGAGCGAGAACAATATTTCGAAAACAACCCTCCCTCAATCGGTGAAACCCTCGCAATTGTTTAAACGAATGTGCGCCGCGCCAAGGCGCGAGCCACTTTTTCAAAAATGACCCGCCCTCCATCTGTGAAGCTGTTGCCAATCTTTAAGATTCAGAATCATACGTTCGAAATGCTGAGGCAGTCTCAGGCGAAACGCCCGGCCTGGCCTAAAGCCGGCCTCAGGGTGCGACAGGAAGAATTTACTCATAAGGAACAGGAGCGGAGGAGGAGGAGGAGGAGGAGGAGGAGGAGGAGGAGGAGGAGGAGAAGGAGGCGGAAGCGGAGGCGGAGGCGGAGGAGGAGGAGGAGGAGGAGGAGGAGGAGGAGGAGGAGGGAAAACAGGTGGAGAGAACGACGGTAGGAGGAGGAGGAGGAGGAGGAGGAGGAGGAGGAGGAGGAGGAGGAGGAGGAGAAGGATTTTTTTGCCCAGGGGGCTCCAGCCGCGTCTGGCCAGCAGTTTAGGCCAGGCAGAAAGGGGGCATGCAGCGGCGGCGAAGGCTGCAGTCCCACGAGCAGCGCCAGCTGCAGGAGAGAACAAAGGGAGCGCACGAACACGCTAGACCACGGACGGGGCAGAGCCCCCTGTGGCCTAGTCTGACTCATCCGAGACACCCCCCCCGCTCCCCGACGCCCCAGACGACGGGATTCCTCCTGCAGCTCTTAAAAGGCGCTGCGCTTTTTCTTGAAAGGATGCTGCTCCAGTCGGCTCGAGCACGAGCGGAGCCGCTTCTTCCCCTTGTGCCTGGGCGTCCCGAGCACGGTGAAACACTGCCCGCACAACAGGGACGGGTTGCTCTGGCACAAGGGGTGGGGCTGCACGGCTCACTACAGGCAGTGCAACAGGTCGCAGAGGGGGCGGTATTCGTCACTGCTGACTCGAGGCGCCAGGTTGGCAAGCCTCTTCTGATGGAACAGGCGGCACAATAAGAGAAACGAGCGGAGCCTCATCTTCCCGTCGTTCCAGCGCATCCTCCTTCCGAGGGCTCAGGGCCCGCTCGACACCAGCAGGATGCTCTGGCACAGCAGTAGGGGCTGCACAGCTCGCAGATGCGCAAAGGAAATCAGAGGCCTCGCTGTCGGCAACGCCCTCGTCAACCAGCATCTTTTCTTGAAAAGATTTCGCTCGAGTCGGCTCGAGCATGAGCGGAGCCACGGCTTCCTCTTGTGCCAGGGCATCCCTAACGCAGTGAAGCTCAGCACGAACACAAGGGACGGGTTGCTCTGGCACAATAGGTGGGGCTACAAAACTCGCAACAGGCAGTGCAACAGGACGCAGAGGGGGCGATATTCGCCCCTGTTGGCTCGAAGCGCAAAATTGGCAGGCCTCTTCCGGAGGACAGGCTGCACAGGAAGAGGAACGAGCGGAGCCTCATCTACCCGACGTTCCAGCGCATCCAACTCCCGAGGGCTCAGGGCCCGCGCAACACCGTCAGGATGCTCTGGCACGGCAGGTGGGGCTGCACAGCTCGCAGAGGCGAACAGAAAAGCAGTGGCCTCGCTGTCGGCAGCTTCATCATCAGAATGAGCACTAAAGGCTTGCAAGGCACCCTCGTCCATAGAGGCTGCGGCAATGGCGGTTGTCGCGCAAGCTGCTGGCGACACAGGCAGCCCAGGGCATGACGAGTGCTCAGCACCATTCCCTGGGTCGCCATCTTCAGGGGTGTCGATAAGTACTTTGACAGAATCCTTGCCACGCTGCGGGTGCACACCTCGAAGTACGCGGTTCCACTTCCACTGCTGTCGGCTGTCGCGAGATCCTTTACACCGTAGTCGGTACAAGTTGGACTTCTGCGGCGTGCCCGCGGACACAAAGGACGCACAATGGAGGCAGCTGAAAAGGTGGGAACCGTCCGAACAGGAGAAACATACAATGCTATGTCGTTGTCTCGCGACAAGATTAAGGTCCAGGCCTAAAGCAACTCCTGAGCATCTTCTGGGCGGAGTTCTGGGCGCACTAAAGAGTTTAGCATAATCGGTCTGCACTCCACCTCGCCATCTGCCTCGAGGGGCGGGGGCAGGGGCAAAACCTTCATGGCTAGGCGGCAGAAAGCTGAAACGAGTTTGACTTGCTCGCCGATTCTGGCTAGGGCCTCGTCGTCCCGATCGTGCAAATCTAGGGCGGCTTTCGCTCCTCTGTCGGCGAAATCGTTGCCCAATCTCACGAAGCGTTCATGGCCGGTGAGACTGTCGTCAGTTAGTGGTT